GAGGCAGTTGATAGTGGTAAGGATTGCGATGTTGTATACCTTGACTTTAGCAAAGCTTTTGATACAGTGCCACATGAAAGACTGATTAAAAAAATAGAGTCTCATGGTATTGGGGGTGCTATATTAAGCTGGATTAGGGCATGGCTATACCAAAGGAAACAGAGTTAGTATAAATGGAATCAAGTCAGAGTGGGAAAATGTTGTAAGTGGAGTGCCTCAAGGCTCTGTCCTGGGACCTCTGTTGTTTATAATATATATAAATGATTTAGATTCAGGTTTGAGTAGCAACATTTGCAAATTTGCCGATGATACGAAAATCGGTAGGGAAATTAATTCGGAGGAGGACTCACTATCACTTCAAGTTGATCTAGATAGGGTTTTGAAATGGTCAAAGGATTGGCAGATGCAGTTTAATGCTGATAAATGTAAAGTTCTGAGGTTAGGTAATGATGATAGAGTTACAAGATACGAGCTAGATGGTGTTGTGATTGCGAAGTCGGATTGCGAAAGGGATCTGGGAGTTATGATTAGTAAGAATTTAAAACAAAAGGATCAATGCATAAATGTTCGTAATAAGGCAAATCGGACACTTGGATTTATTAATCGCAGCGTTAGTAACAAGACACCTGGTGTGGTTCTCAAGCTATATCTTGCTCTAGTTAGGCCCCATTTAGATTATGCAGTTCAGTTTTGGTCGCCATATTATAGAATGGATATAAATTCACTTGAACGTGTCCAGCGTAGGATGACTAAGTTAATTCCCCAAATTAGAAATCTTTCATATGAAGAAAGATTAACAAAGCTTAAGTTGCATTCACTGGAAAGGCGAAGAGTTAGGGGTGACATGATAGAGGTTTACAAGTGGATGAATGGACATAACCGGGGGGATATTAATAGGGTATTAAAAGTATCAACACAGGACAGAACACGAAACAATGGATATAAATTGGATAAGTTTAGATTTAGGAAAGACTTGGGTAAATACTGGTTCAGTAATAGGGTTGTTGATTTGTGGAACCAATTGCCGCGTAACATTGTGGAGGTGGGGTCCCTCGATTGTTTCAAGCACGGGTTGGACAAGTATATGAGTGGGATTGGGTGGTTATAGAATAGGAGCTGCCTCGTATGGGCCAATAGGCCTTCTGCAGTTACCTTTGTTCTTATGTTCTTATGTTCTTACTCCTATTCATCTTTGTGCGTCGGACAGGTGCTTGGATCTCTCGTCACTACATTATCCCTCAGTTCCAGTTTCTTGCTGCTCTTCTCCTTATAATCAGAACTTTATTTCAAAATCTATTTCTTAACATATTGGGATGAAATTTTAACGACGCTCTTGCCAAAAAACTGGAGATTTGTATAATTTAAAGTAATTTTCATTAAGTGATTAAAAAATTTTTGAACTCCCGGCCCCTTAAAAGGTAGACTGGGGTGCCTCCAATGGTGTGGCCGGGTGAGAGGGAGGGAGGCTCGCCCCCCCCCCTGCCCCATCCCCCAATCCCCCTCCTCCCCCAATCCCCCTCCTCCCCCAATCCCCCTCCTTCCCCAATCCCCCTCATCTACCCATTCCCCCCCCCCTGACTGCCGGAAAATTACACTTCATGGTTGACTGGTTCTCCCCGGGACCCGGGAGTAGTGCATAGGTCCGCCGGCAGAGCCAGGGGTTGCCATGGTTACTTGTGAATGTTGAAGGTGTGCACTCGTGTCACCCTGGTGCAAGTGCGGAGTGCTCTGAGCATGGAACTCTGGGGCCAGATTCACGAAGCAGTTACGCAAGCACTTACGAATGTGTACATCTTTCCTCAATCTTTGACTGCTTTGGTTACATTTATTTTACAGTTTACAAGCATGCAAACTTCCCAGTCAACTGTTATTGTTATAAACAGCCTCCTGGTGCTTCCGAGCTCGTTAACTGTTTAATAATTGTAAACAAAGCCGCCGAAGATCGAGAAAAGATATACAGGTTCGTAATTGTTCGTGAATCTGGCCCCCTGTTCCCAGGGTTGTCTTTCTTACTTTTAGATTGATAAGGCGTTTGAGAGATTGAGGGATCCTTTCGGACGTAGGTTCTAACCCTCATCACGGCCCTTGTGGATTTGTTCGTTTGAGAGATGTTTGGGCGGGTCCTGTGGCAGATCATCAATGTTGATGATCATTGGTATCGTCCTCTTAACTTGTCATAATTTTGCTTCCTCCTTCGTGTTGCAATACTCACTCACACCCCACCCCGTTTTTATCCGTGTTCCCTCCCCCCCCCCCCATCAGCATTCTCTTTATCCGTCCCTTCTCCTGCACTCTTTTATCAGCCTCCTCCTCCCAGCTTCCCTCCTAGTCCATAACGTAAGGTTAGTTCTTATTAGCTGCTGAATTACGGGCTCACCATAGCCCGTGCTACTTGGACACTTCGTTCTGAGTAGCTAAATCTAAAACAGCAGCAGCAGACATGACCTGGTAAAGAGTTTTCTTTCAACACGTAGAGTCGTGGCAAAGTTGTTTTCAATGGCTGAACTGTTGCAAAAGTATATTGTATATATGTAACCCTTGCCTGGGTAGCCAAGAGTGTCGTCACGTGTCGCTACACTACCTTCACTAACGACCTCCTCCGTCACGCTAGCGTCGTCCGCTAAGTTGTTTGTTCTCTGACGGCTTTCAAATCTGTCATGCTTTCACTAACCGTCTTAATATAGACGGGTACGGCGTTAATTTAACCTGTTAATTTGCTTCTTGCCTGTTAATTTAGTTGATAATGTCATCGAGGTTCGTGCTGTGGAGGGGAGTGAATGCCAGGAATCTTCAGTATGTACTGTGCATCTACTCTAACTAGGGTCAGCTGCTCATCTTGCATACCTTACCCATCAGCCAAGACATTCCATGTTGGCATGAATCACCTCCGCGTGATGTCGCGGCGCGAGTTGGCCGTCGCTCATTTTGCGGCCCTGTTGGACGGACGACCCAAACTCTCCGGTGCTTGATGGGTGACGTGGGATAATTTTAGTAATAATATCTTTATAAGAGGGGGGGTTGATTATGGAGACATGTTTGCCGCGGTTGTGTCACTTGGGTATGACCGCCCAAACCTTGGTGTAATGCCAAGCCCCGGCCGTCACTTACGGATGGGCTTATGGTGACTGCTGAACGTGATTATTTTTATTATGATTATTTATATTTTTTTATATTTTTATATTACTGTATTGCTGCTCAAAGAAATCACATTAACGTTGAGGTATCAATGAAAAATTAGCTAAATGATTTTCTCATGGATACATCTCTTTAATGTGACTTTTCTGTATTTGAAGAGAAGCGTTAGAGGTAGAATTCCTAGGCTACAAGTCAGAGTGCACGAGGGTATTGTGTGACACCCTGATTAGGCATCAGTGGAAGCCACGGGATCCCTAGAAGATTCAGTTGAATTCAAAGTTGAAATGCTTTTGATCTTGTGGTCTAGTTATTTGCCTGATAGTTCCCAGTGCACGGGTTCGATTATTATTATTATTAGTAATTGTCAGAGGTGTAGTGTTATTGCTCAGCAGAGGATTGTGCCCTGTCCAGGCATAGGTGTTATGGTCACTGTTAAATACAGCGTGACAGATTATAATTAGTTATAATTATAACTAGGTAGACTAGGTAGAAGAGGTAGATCCTCTTTCCTGGGAGTGGATAAAGTGAGAACGCATAAAGTAACCTCGTAGGGAAGTAGGTTATTGCTGAAGAGCGGTATTGCCATTACCAGGCTGTGGTCAGTGTCTACCCACTTGAACAAATTTACACGTAAATCTTCAATATTAGTGGCCATTCAACACCTGAATGACTGCTGCGTATGTAGTCGGTTCTTCTCTTCACATCTCCACATTTATCTCCTTTCCCTCCATTCTCCCCCTCTCTCTTCCCTCCCCCGTCCAACATAGCCTCTTTCCTCCTCCTCCTCTAGTCAAATAAAAATAGTGGAAAAATAATATATCTGCATGATTGATTTAAATGCGGTAAGGTGTTGCCAAGGGTGATGTATATATATTGCCAGGGGAAAGAAGCCGTGGGTTGTCAGGTAGGACGCGTGCTCAGGTTAATGTGCGGCAAATTATACCAGTGCGTTACATGAAGCCTTGACCTGACGGGCCGGAGAGGGGCTCACCTGCTGAGTCTATTCATCGATTAGGGGGGCGTGTTGCCGGCTGGTAATGGTAGACTGAGCCGACGCAAGGTTCAGGTTGGGGCGACCAGAAGAGAGGTAGGAATTGGCTGTTACCGTTATGGTGAGTGGCTGGATTGGTTGTAGTAACCTCTTGAGAATGTGGTGATGAGGTCTGGGTACTATTAGTCTTCTTTTGCTTGTAAATTTTATTTACAAGTTCATATTCTATGTATTAAAGGTTCTAATGACGTGATTCGAACCTGCACCGTGGGTATTCCCAAGCACTTGTCTTAAACCACTGTACGACAATACTTGTGCTCAAAACTAATGTAACCAGGAGGCCTCGTTGAGGATTGGCCCGCGGGGACGGTAAGCCTCGAAATCGTCGCAAGGTAACCTGGTATTCAGCTTAATCCTCTAGGGTTCCTGAGGCATCCACCGACTCGGTAATCAGGAAATCAGTAAGAGCTTTGAATCCCCTACTGATTTTTCTCAGATTTAAATGTACCATTAACCACCTCGATATGTGGAGCACGGAATCTGCTGCCCGTGAAGCGCAAATCTTCAGCAACAAGAGGGCCAAGCTACGAGGATAAGTTTAGAACTGAAATCTCTCAAACTTAGAGAGGGTGAAGGTTCAGAAGTGATGTAATGATAGCATATATGATAAGGGAGATAATGAAGGCGAAACACAACCCGGGCACCACCTCCCATACACTACTACTCTCTTAAGAGCATCACTGATCACTACACCATATGTCTCGAGATGGGCCTACACAGGGGTACTTGTATCCACTTTAGCTTTTAAAAAAAAAAGTATTTACCTTTGTTTTATATGTAACCAATTATCTAACAAATTTATTTTCTCTTGCAGGATGTGATCCACACTATATGCCAGTCCTACGGTAATGTTCTTCGCATCGTCATCTTCAAGAAGAATGGCGTGCAGGCCATGGTTGAATATCCTTTTAAGCAACTCATAAATACGGTCTTTTATTTTTGTGTGTGTATTCTTGTGTGTTATTCTTGTAACTTGCTTAGCTAAATGAATTGTGGGGTTCAGTCCCTGAGCCCATTATGTGCCTCTGTAACCCTTTCCACTACCGCCCACAAGATGGGTATGGGGTGCATAATAAATGAACTAAACTAAACTATTCTTGGTGATAGCTTAAGAACATAGGCAACTGCAGAAGGCCCATTGGCCCATACGAGGCAGCTTCAGTTATCCTGACTACTTGTGCGAGTTTATAGATCTATATGCAGGAAATGTGAATAGAAACTATTATTTAGCGTTAGGACAAGGAGAAAGGGGATGGTGGTGGAGCAAGGAGAGGACCCCGCACTCCCTGGCGTGCAATGCTCTGCCCGACACTAAGCAAGATTAGGTAAACATGGGGAGCAGTCTCCATGTTTGGAGAGAAATCAAGAGGACTGCACTCGCGTGAGGGACATCGATGTGTTGTATGCCACACCAACACAACTATTACTCTAGATGTTACTTCGTTGTTTTGATTAAAATTTATTTCAGAATGGGAACATTTTTATCCCGTTTCCGTTGCGAGACAATAATTGATAATAAAAGTTTAAATTGAGGTAGTGAAGTTTAACATTAAATGTCGTAACCTAGACAAGTATATTATTGAACAATTTGTATGTAGCAAGTTTTTGGGTTTACGTTGTAGCAGTTCCTCGCTGGTAAAGAGGAGTTTAACCTGTAAATAGCCTGTAAATATTAGTATTACTGACGATAAGGATTATTAACAAAGGCGCCGGAAACTAGAGCAGCCAGAGGTCACACTGCTCCAAGGATTTTTTGACCTTGGTGCAGTACAAGTGCAAGTAAATACATAAAATCTATTAATATTAAGGGAGTATGACATTGAAGCGCCCTCTAAATATACGAAGCATTACTAACTGCGCGTTTCAAGATGACGCATAATAAACACCACTAAAGTGTGCCAGTGTAACCGGACTAGGGTCCCTGCCTTGGAATGAGAAGCGACAGCAAACAGTCGACAAATAGGACAAGATAACTTTACGTGCGGGGGACAGTCCCGGACTACTAAAAGATCGAAATGTCTGTCTCCCTGTCCCAAGTTAAGCCTACCAGCATAGGGAGCGAGCCGTCCTTCTCTCGACTTCCCCGTGGAAAGATCAATACAAGTATTGATCCTGGTAGCAGTTCATAGTACAGTAGTTCCTGCGGCAAGCAAGTTTGCCTAGTTAAGAGTACGCATTCCATTATGACCATAAAACATTTAGGGATGAATCACGTTATTGAAAAATTAAGCAAATACAAGTGTGTGTAGTATGCAGTTAAGCACAATAGGTGCCGTCTGGGTGTGTCGAGGCGGCGGTAGATTTATATTCCGGTACTGTACTAGTTTTGTTAAGGGACAAGAGACGGGGGTGTGGGCGCCGGCTTCCCCCAGCCTTGTCAGCCTTGTTCCCCAACATAGCAACAAAACGCGTGACTAGGATAATTGGAGGTGACGATAGGGGATGGTATATTAATATAGTAATCAGTAGTCATTGGGTCGGGAAGGATATAGACAACCTGGACTGGAGATGGTCTATGTAATGGGTAATAGTTGCAGATTAGATTCTAAAGCTGATCCCATAATCTATAATATAGTTTAAAATGGTTTTGGCGTTAAAAAGACAGTCTGTTAATTATTTTGTAACAATTGTGCCTGAATACCTTGAAAATAGTATGATAGTGTTGAAGGTAGTCCTCACACTGGTACTCTCGATGCACCGTAAGTGTTCTTTCATCCTTCACAGACACCAAAATCAAAGCTGCAATTTCCTTGGTTGGGGAGCAAACACGTAGCAAATATGATACTCTGGAAAGTTTTTAAATTGTCAGCGGAAGTTGGTTTCAAAGTTCGGAATGAAAGACAACGTCAGACTTCTTAATAGGCCCAGTGGCAAGTGAAACGGTTCAATAAATAGGACGACCCGACGTTTACAGATCACAAAAACATCAACGAATTATATGATAAATAATTAAATGAAGATAAGAGGGGCATAATGAGGGTTTACAATACAAGATGGTAATAGTACTGTTAGGTCTGGTGCTCTTGGGTCTGTTCATGATCAGTATTTTGTAATGAAAATACAAGACGTGAAACTTTTCCAAGGTGCCCAGACAAGTCAAAATATAATGCCTCTTATATTGTGTGTTGTAAAGCTTTGGTTCCTTAATATCTACAATACTTGACCGGGAACATTTTCTTTCTAGTCCTCCCTTTCTGGCGAGAGAAAAATGGAGGCCATCTTGGGTTACTGTGGTGCAGGCGGCGCGGCTGGTCTCTGTGGGGAGGTGAGTCGAGGGCGCCTTAGATGGCTTCCCTGAGCGGCAGGAGAAAGAGGCGACGGAGCCTAGGTTGTCAGGCTGGCGGCAGCAAACAAATGGGCTTCTTAGATGGGTCGATCACGCCACTTTGGAGGTCCTCCCCCTGGCACTATATTGGTCCGCCTTCCCCTTTTTCCTCGGTACTCTCTGTGGGATCTCTCGCACAACTCTGAAACCTAATCTTTAGTGTACCCTTTTTATTGCTAGCTGGTGTATCTGGCCTATCTTGGTTATCTGGAGATGATTTCGGGGCTTAGTCCCCGCGGCCCAGTCCTCGACCAGGCCTTCTTTTGGTTACACACCCCCAGGAAGCAGCCCGTAGCAGATGTCTTAACTCCCAGGTACCCATTTCCTGCTAGGTAACAGGAACATCAGGGTGAAAGAAACTTTGCTCATTTATTTCCGCCTCCACCTGGGATCGAACCCGGAACTTCAGGACTACGAATCCGAAGCGCTGTCCATTCAGCTATCAGGCCTACCCCTAAAGTTCTAGGCCTCCCTTTGCCCCCCCCCCCCCCCTGGATTATCTTGGCTCAGCTGGCTTGTTGCAGTGTTGCAGCAACACTGCAACAATCTCCTTCAGGGTGATTATCAAAATTCTCATTCTGGGTGCCCTTGTTGACTTTTAATGTACTTGTATCAATAAGGTAATCGCAAGGAACAGGGCTTGCCTGATCAGCGAGGCTATTTATGTTGGGAGCCTCTTATAAATCATAAATAGATCCTTAACTTATAAATCCGGGTGATTCAGCTGCAAATACTTGTAAAGTTCAGTCTTCAAAATTTCAGCATGTTTCAATATTTCTCACATTTCTTGGTAGGAGGTTAGTCCAAGAAGTGATAGTGTTGTATAATTTCAGTGGGCATATTCTACACTATTAGCTTCATTCGGCTGCGTTAGTCTTTTAAGTTTCATAAGGCATCATACACAACTGCTTACTGGTTAGTACGATTGCCTCATCTAGTGAAGACTCGAACAACCGCCTGTCTTGGGTAATCGAAGGATCAGTTTAGGTGGCAGGTAAGGAAAGTTGGAGGCGAGCCGCGTCGGGCGCGTGTGGCCGAGGCGGCTTCTACACTTAGACAAAGAAGCCGACCCGCGTGTCAGTCGACGGAGGTCATAATCAATAAAGAAGGTAAGAATCGTCGCCAAGATGTCAGTCACATGCCAGGTAGTGCTGGCTGATGTTGGGATGGAGGGCGACAGGCCGGGTGCGGGATATGGATGGATGCGGCACAGGGGCCGGGTGAGGGCTTGCTTGCCATCCAGGGAGGGATGGAGGCAGGCAGGGTGTAGGGAGGGAGGGAGGGAGGGATGGATGAATGGATGCAGGGTACAGGGATGAATGGTTGCGGTAGGCAGGGAGGGTGTGGAGGGAATGGATGGAGGCACGGTATGGGGGAGAGGGGAATGAATGGCAGGATTTTCAGGGAGGGTTGAAATGAGAGGGAGCGTCAGGTAGGCATGAAGGAAGCCTGTAAAGGAGAGAGAAGATGGATAGAGGCAGGCAGGCAGGCCTCTCCCGTCTTCTCCAGCCCCTCAAGCTTGCTAAGTCGTTTTAGAAACTGGGCTTCTTTCTCCACCGGCTGGTCTTGGACGCTGTTGGAAGAGAACTTTAATCCTCACACGTAAACAAAAGTATAGTGAATTTTGATGTCGACATGCAGGATGGTGGTACTTTAGTGGTTTCCTTAATGAACGAACGAACCCTTCCTCCGCCACAAAGTGTAACCTCATTTATCTTTGTCAACATGACAGGCCTAAACACAAACGCCTCCCATAAGTGGTATCGGGCAAATGCAGTACTTGGATCATTGGGAGAAATCCATGCTAGCAATTTCATGGGCATTGCGGTTTGAATAACAAATTTAAACGTCGTAGGTGTCATATAGTAAATAGGGCGCTAGTAATAGTAGTTTTGTATGTTTAAAACTCTTGCCTATACAAAATTAGGCAATATTGGAATCGATGAAGTACTTAAACTACTGGGACAGACTCGGAGCACTCGTTGCCCGCTGTAGTCTTTAATAAAAACAAAAAAAAAAGACGAGAAATCTCATTGAAAGGTACGGTTCCAATAAATGACAAAATTCCATTCTGAAAAATATCAGAATGAGAGGGGGACGTTAGGAAGTTTAAAATTAATCCAAAATCCCGTGAAAAGTCTGTTTGCCATAAACACAAATTTATTGCATAGTGTTCCATGGCTCGTCATGGAGCTGACATGTCCTGAGGGCTAAAAGAAGTCTCGCAGATCAGGAAGGCAATAGTAAGATAAAACTAGCCTCAGGTCAGGCTGCGGGAATAGAAGAACTAATTGCCAGCAGGTATAAACACCTTGCATCATGAGTACACAGACGTTGCATATTTTTACATGGAGAGGTTGGTCCAGGTCTCCTGCACCATGAAATTACTTTGGAATCGAATTTTTTAACGTATATGGTGTGGAGAGAAAAGTGCGCCAACGCTGCTGAAACAGTGTTGGTTGTGCTAGAGTGGCATTTATATGTGAAGTGTGTATTTTTAATACCCACGCATTTATATGTAATATAAAATATAAAATGGCATTTATATGTGTGGGTATTTTTAATGTGCAGTCTGGTCAGTCCGTAATACTTTGGTTATAGCAAGGAGGCCTGGTCGACGACCGGGCCGCGGGGACGCTAAGCCCCGGAAGCACCTCGAGGTAACTTCAAGGTAGGGGTTATCAGTATGTCCTAATAGTGTTCAAGAAAGGGACACGTGAACAGGCAGGGCGTGGAGCCTAGGCGGGACCGGTGTGGCTACAACTGACAAGGTAGTCAGTCATCGCCGCCGGCTTGGGGGCACTGACCTCTGGGGAACCACCACCACATTATACGGTTGTCACCGTGGTGGTGGCGGACCCAGTTTTACTCGTACGCTTCATCTCTATCTTTTACTCCTTTCTCATCATTCTTTAAGCCGTGCTTTATTTAATTGATAAATGTTGAGGTATTTTTGAGAGCATCGTTGCAAGTAAGGCGGCATTCCGTGGCAGCCAAGACGAACGTGTTGCGGTAGCAGACATTCTGGGCTGGCCGGTTAACACTTGCTGCTTGTGTGTATTGAAGGTAGCACGGCGGGATGGCGGCCACGACACTTTTACGACAAGTATTTTCCTGAGCATGTTAAAATGCCTGCACAAGTGTGAACGGGGTGGGTGGGGCTGACTAGAACATACTGTAGTTTACGCACGGCGGATAGCCATATTGGTTAGGTTCCCCCCCCCCCCCAAGAGCAAACTACCTGCTTGTTGGGGTTCAGGTCCAACACCCTGTTGGACCAAGCTCTCACAAGTCAAGCTTGGCCCCGGGCTGGGCTTGTGGAATAGAACAACTCTCAGAACCCCATCCAGCCGGTATCCAGCTTATCATAGTACTTAATTTTCTTTAACCGTATATAAATATGTAATGTCTGAGGGTATAGTCTATCTTAAATTTATTTGTGCAGAGTTCAAATGGCATAACATGATCCAAATAGTGGAAAGTGCCTGCAAGACGCAACTGTCAGGCAGATGGAGAGGAGACCAGGCCAGGCCAGGCCAGGGTGGTACAAGGCTTAACATGTAGCCAAAGATGAAAGCATTGGCAAAATGTTATAGGTATCCTTGGTAAATATTGAAATACTGGTTTTGTATAAAACTGGTTGACGCCATAAAACCACCCACACCTGTACACCTGGCAAAAACTAATTGCCGCTTTTATTTACATATGTATACATATACACATAATATACAACTGTTTGTCCTTAACTGTTCTCACGTTCGACGGGATCGACCCAGCCACCCGTGCCCGGGAAGGACTGCAAGGAGCAGATATCTACTCTGGCTGCTGCACACTGCGCATCGAGTACGCCAAGGTACGTTCTTTACTGATTTTGTTAAGTCTTATTATACCCGTGGTTCAGTGTCATTTGTGTATTTAATATACAGCCATTGCTTGGCTTTATGCCAATTCTCATTTTTCGGTGGATATTTAGGCATTTGTTTAATTCTCGTAGAATATAGGTTCATAGTTTTTGTACTACTCATTGCTTAATGTTTGTGTGGAATTGGCTGCGGCTGCGTCCCACTGTGGTGGAGCTCGTCTTCACAAATGGGTTCGCCATGCTGCTGCTGGCACCAAGGCGTCTGGCTTGAACGTAACAGTCTCCTCTTTGTATTCCATAGCATGTTAAGGAGTAGCTTGTTCTCCCTGATAACTTGGGTTACTTCGAAGTTAATTTGCAGTGATCTTAACACGAAAGAAAAAGTGGTTATACCCTGCTGACCCTGCCACTCCCGTCAGAAACTAATAGTCTCTCATCCCGCTTATAATTTTATTAGCAAGAGTGACATTTGGCATGTAGCGGGGAATAGCTGAGGGATTGCCACACGGACTGTGATGTTGAGGCATGAGGCATGGTGGTGATGTTGAGTGAGTGTGGGCTTGACCATGTTGGAAGCAGCTTCATGGGGACCGCCGCCCCTTGACGCTGACCCTCGGGATAAAATTATATATCATGGGTTTGTGCGTGGTGTAGATTCATTATTCACTAGCTGCTGTCCCTCCAGTGACGCCATCTTGGTAGCGGAGAGCGGTGTTATATTTTAATCCACTATTTCAGACTTTTTAAGAGGTAAATTGGCGTTGTATAACTTAAATTATTTCGGCCAAGTTTAAAATTTTTAGCTTCTAATCTAGCACAAGCTATTAGCCGCGCTCTCGTCACTGAACCCCCATGGCGCGCACACCTTCTGCATCTATAAAGATCCCCCCCCCCCCCGGGACATCCATAAATATAGTCCCCACAAGCACACGGTAGGCCCCCTTCCTCTTTTTCATTAGCCCCGTGGAACTTGTCTCCCTCAGGTTTTCCGCAGATTATCCGCAGCCCTTGGGACCAAGCATTTTCTTAGCAACTTGTCCAACTCTCGAAATTTTTCACTTCGTTCAAGTAATATTTCTCCTACTCGGCGGAAAGAGGTTGAAGTGCCGTCGGCCTCGTGAGTTCATAGTGTTCGTTGTTGTTGCACCGTTAATTTTAAGTCTCTTGATTTTTCTATGTCTAGAAAACATAGCTTTTTATTTTTTTCGATGCATTTCAGTCCAGTGATCTGTCTTAGTTCATCCTGATCTGTCAGTGATCAGAATGAATGACTGGCATCGGGATTCGTGATTCTAGTGTGTTGTCGAATGGGTGAAGAGAATGGGGGGGGCATAGTCAGCTACAGGGGACGTTGTGGTTGCTCTCTCCAACAAATACCTGATCAACCGGGCAGTGATTCATACGTCAGTGATGCCAGTCAGTGATCTGTCAGTGATCAGTCCAGCAACCAGGAGGCCTGGTCGACGACCGGGCCGCGGGGACACTAAGCCCCGGAAGCACCTCAAGGTAGGTAGTCTCTATCCCGCAGTCTCTAGAGCTTGGCTCTCTTCCCTCCCCTCCCACAGCCTGGCAATGTTGTCATGGCGCATTCCTTTCGCCATCTATTAGCTGTCATTAGTGCCACTTGTTTTTGGGTTGTAGAGTTTAGGTGAGATTGATACATAGTGGTGGCGCGAGGGAGGACCAAGTAAAACCTGGGCCCGTGCACACTCCAGTTAACCTGGGCCCGTGCACACTCCAGTTAACCTGGGCCCGTGCACACTCCAGTTAACCTGGGCCCGTGCACACTCCAGTTAACCTGGGCCCGTGCACACTCCAGTTAACACGAGCAAAGTTCCGGCTGCTATACACTCTTGCTTCTTCCACTCTATGCTACAATGCCACTATCAGCCAATCTATCATAGCTCTTCTGTGATGGATGTGCCCGGCTGTAGCAAAGATGTGAAAACAACCTCCACTTAGTTCTGGAGCTGACCGCTCCTACCCCCCCCCTCCCTCACCTTCCCCAGTTGCTGACCACTCCCTACCTAACTTGCGGAGGTTTCGGGGATCAGCAGCCCCGCGGCCCGGTCTCTAACTAGGCCTCCCAGTTCGTCGTCTGGTTAAGCAGGCTGCTTGCAGCCTGACGTATGAATCACTGCCCGGTTGATCAGGTATTTGTTGGAGAGAGCAACCACAACGTCCCCTGTAGCTGACTATGCCCCCCCCCCCCATTCTCTTCACCCATTCGACAACACACTAGAATCACGAATCCCGATGCCAGTCATTCATTCAGAAATTGAATCCAAAGACTGGATGTTCTTACTTGAAAAGTAATGCTATTTAAAGACGAGGGAGGCATAAGGTATTGCAGTAACAAGAGACTGTAATGGGGCCCAGGTATGACTTGAGGAATGAGGACAGTGATAGGGCGGAAATAGATACGGTAGCATATGTTAGGGAGCTGCTGTCTGTACTCGTTAAGTAGATCACTTTAAACCGTGGCCTTGGCGATGCTGGTCAGGGTGATGCACGCTGGTGAATGCCCATTACGTATACCATGTTGTAGTTAGATAAGTGGCTTATTATTGTAGGCGAGCAGTACAACCGATGCGAGTGTCGGGCCATGACATGTAGTATGAGCGGGCCCGGGTACGGTGCTAGTGCCTGGGGCCCAGCTCTCTCATAAATTGTGATGACCCTTACCATAACCCGGGCTCGCTTTTCGTGCCTCTATCGTCATGCCTAACGCCTTTCCCCCCCACTTGTAACCAATAACAAATATTCCATTTCGGAGTGCCAGAAGTGGCAGGCGAGTGGTGTGTAGAGAGAGGATGTGGGCGAAGTAAGAGCTGTAATAAGACTTGTTGATGCCTTTGCAAAGGCAACTTGCGTTGATAGCGGTAGAGGTGGCCTCAAGGGCGTTTATATGGTGGGGGTTTGGGGGGGGGCAGTGTGGGAGCGCGGGTGTCACCTGGTGTAAGCAGATATTGATCCAGGCAGTGGTAGTAACTTGGGGTGGCTGAGGTCCGCGAACGGTCCCACCAAGATAACCCGTCACCAAGCCTGCACATGAGAAGCAAGCGTATCCGTCCTATCAGATACCCGGCCTCGCGCCACTTTTTATGGCCGTCGCGCCGCCATTCCCGGTTATTTTAGACGACGTTAATTTTCAGAGTTGATTGCGTTCATAAAATAGCTCTTGAACCACGATGCTATTCAGTGGTCGTTCATAACATTTCCAAAAATGTAAGTTTGATTTCAGATATAAACTAGTAAGAAGAAAAAGCGTTACACCATAGAGGTATTTTATATCGTGCATGGCTAAGGTTAGGTACTTGTTAGCAGAAAGCGCTAAGCCAATATTACAGTATAGCACATTGGAGCGGCATAAGAAAACTGGATTGTAGGACCTGTGTCAAATTGCTTGGAACTCTGACTCTACACAAAGCGAGATCGTCGCTTTGCCCACCAGTCAGTGGATAACCTTTTATGTATCCTCAGCGAAGCAGATAGAATGTCAAGCCAGCATCAGGCGTTTCTGTTTGCGGTGATGCACAACTTTATAATCTTGATGCTGTGACTGATAAGATTGTATAGGGCAGCCACTATCTAGCGCCCCTCTCCCTCCCCCCCTCCAGCCAGCCACCACCTAACGCCGCCCCCTCCCAGCCACCACCTAACGCCGCCACCCCCCCCCCCCCACCTCCCCCGCGAAAACCAGACTTAAGTAAAATGGGTTCAAGTTTGTGACGGGCGTCGTAATCAGACTTGCAAATCCGGACCAACTTTGACGGGGCCCGCAGGCAGAGTTGTCAAAGTCAATATTCCTTGGAGGAGACGGCGGAGGCTGGTCGTCGAGACCGCCTTTTCTTTTATACGGCTCTATTTCCTACTGGCGCAAATCTTCTTACTAGATAATCCGCTTACCCTTATATTGTTTTAGGACTCCGAGGGTATTTTTGGCGAGGAAAAGTCGGATGCTATGTTTATGCAATCAACCGTTAGATCTTTCTCTTCTTAGTCAAGTTGGAAATTGGGAAATATTTGAATTGTAGTTGTGAAGACTATATTGCGATAAAGTTTCTAGAAGGAAATGGTAAAAGAATGGAGTCTGTTGGTGTGGGGGAGGGAGCCAAGAGTGGTGCAGTTATGGTGACTTGGACTGTTTGGGTCGTCATTGGTTTAATACGGGTGTTTGTGTGTAGTCGGACCGGTAGAGGAAAAAAGTATTTGTACATTTGTTTGATATTCATCCACATGCTCGTTCATTCTTGGATGCGGGATTTTGATAGCAATTGATGATATGCAAATGGAAGATTCTAAATACTCGATCCCATATATGCACAACAAAATATCAATTTTTTTAGCAGAAGATGTTAGAAAATGCAATATAGACTGGTGCAGAGTAGAGGTACCATATGCACAATCAGAGAAAACTGCATATCCACCACTTTCAATCTCCTCCCAATTAATATAAGAAATATTACCGGTACAAGACGTGTTAAAAACTATGAGAGAAGTTCCTGCAGGAAGTGCTGGACTTAATCGGGTTATAATGGATAATGTGGGCCTGCTGGCAGGTCCAAGTGAAAGCTTTTCAGGTAGTTATGACAAGTAAAGCCTGGCCCCAGGCCGGGCTTGTAGTAAAACTGTCAGAACCGTGCGAGGTGTGATCATTAAATTAGTTCCACCCTCTGCCTCGTCCATTCCTGTCTTTTCTTAACACTATTTATATAGTGTAATGCCGAGCAGTTTCTAATGTAATGTAACGTTTCTAGTATCTGCTCCTTCCAGTCTCTCTTTACAGCTTTCTTTAGCTGGGTATTTGTTGAATCTTCCTAATTGTGACGATGGTTTTTTTTTTAACATCTGGAGAGGGGCAAGCTGCTTCCAGGAGCGGCAATGTAACAATGGACGGGAGTTCAACAACCGGCCGTAACGAGACGCCACCATACCACACTTTTACCCTCCTGAACAACCTCGTTTTTTTTTACTTTTTCACTTCCGCCATTGGCATTTACTCTTATGAAAGTGCGTGCACACGTCTGCTTTAAAATCATTTAATTACGTATAAAGTCTCGTTTGGAAAGTGAACTGAAAATGGCAAAACTGTTCAAACAGTTGTACGTAGAAAGACAAATGCTTGGTGGGTGAAAGGTGTAAGAGAGGCAAGAGCGACCAAGTGTTTTTCCCGGAGCATCTCCGGTCCGCCCCGCCACAGCTGTGCCGCTGCCTCCGACCCAGTAAATGAAGTTGAGGGTGAAAAATTTTATGACAATGGCTGGTAATTTGTTTAACTTTTTCAGGCCCCACTCGGGCTAGGCGTGCAATAACTGGCTTCTCTGGAAGATAAGGTCGATGTGTGCTGGGTGGGTGGTAGAGGGCGGGGTGTTACCAGCTCTCCACTGAGAGAGTAGATGCTCTAAGTTGGCCAACACAGGCAGGAGTTTTATTGTTCTCGACCTTCACGCGCTCGCCTGTGGCTGGTTGAATTATTGGTTCAGTTGGCAGAGTCTTGGGCTGTGTATGCTTAAGAGTTTATGCCTGTTATTACAATAGATTTTTATTTCATGTGTAGTTTTCATAATGCGAGGTGAAAGCTGCAGGATCAATTTGGTAAATTCCTAGTATCAACGTGTAAATATTGATGATAACATGTTGGGAAAAAATATACTGAGCGATTATAGTCTTCCAGTATTTGAATATGGTATAATCAGTGGGTGGTGGCCTGGAAGTAAAGTTGATTAGGGAAACCTGTCTGGTGAATACATTAATGGGTCACCAGCCGTCAGACCTCTGCTTTTAAAAGTAGGCCAGGGAGAAAGGGCGTGGCGAAACAGGGACTCGATGGGCGAGCGACAAGAAGCATTTGGGTCATTACCTGGCTCTCCACTGCCAGCCTGCCCTGCCTGTCCATTTAAGTCCACCGTCACTGCCTTCATTAGCCATTAGTGCGCACAGAATGTTGGCATTGAATCTGCAGGTAACTACACTGCATTATCTACCCATTTACTAGTATTATGGGGAAGATATACAATACCAAGCATTACAGAGTAAACCCTGTTTGTATTAGACTAGACAAACTTGAAATAAAGTAATTTGTAATAAACTTGAAATTGCAGAATGACTGACAATTTTGAAATCCGAATATAGTAAAATCACTCCTTTCCAAAGGGATGTGTTGTCCTGTTTCTTGTTTCTCTTGAAGAGTGGATTTTGGAAATAAAATGAAAGCTTTACAATAACGAAATACCAAGAGAAAAAAAATATCAGACCCCCTATATTTAAAAAAGTATTTGCCATTTTCCAAGAAATGAAGTAGAAACTCGCAAAACCTGATAAATTCTTGGTACTCCATAAAAGTTTGTAGCGGTTAGTGTTGAATCACCTTTGTTTTTGGACGTTGATTATCCAGGATTCGCTAGTTAATGTTCTAGAGCACCGATTGGTCAAGACCTTTGTTTATATTGAAGTGCTTCATGACTCCCATCCCTGGTACAAACTTGTGTATTTCACTACGTATCCCGTAGAATACAAGAAGCTTCGTGAGTGTACAGTTTCTCCTTGTTTTAGAGGTTGTCTGACAATAAATGTGCAGATGATGCAACCCTGATAGTCCAGGGTTGGACTCTTGGGTTGGTACCACTCCTCCTGTGGTATTGACATAAACATTTGCACCAAAAATGAGGCTGTTCGTCGTTAACTACAGTAATTTTTCACCAACAGTCTTGCTGAATCCACTGCCTCTACATCTTGTCATTAGTTTGGGGAAAACAAGCTTGTTTTATTTGGTCACTTGTGTGAAGTTGGGGTACTTGGTATATCCAGGTACAATCCAGGCATAGGAGGGGCGAGGGGTTGGCGCTTCTGCTTGATGGGGTTCTAAGTCTTTCTACTCCCCAAGCCCGGCCTGAGGCCAGGCTTGACTTGAGAGCTTGGTCCAACAGGGTATTGCTTGGAGTGGCCTGCAGGCCCACGTATCCACCACAGCCCGGTTGCTCCGGCACTTCTTGAAGAAAACTATCTAGTTTTCTCTTGAAGATAATTATATGGGTGTATATATGGGACTCGTGTATGGGACGCTGCATTTTAATCTTTCTGCTACTGGATTACATCAGCCACAGTTTACTGGTTTTGTAGACATGTTAATCTGCATCTTGTTTGGTCAGTGATCAATCAGTAAGGTTAAATTTAGCTTTTGATTATTCTAAGGTAGAATTAAATGGTTTTGTCATTTAATGATGTTAGTGACTATACACAAGGATTTTTAATTAAGCATATACTGTACACATTCAGTACATTTCATCGAACCTCTTATGGATGATTATAAAACATTAACTACTAACGTTGACTACTGTCGTGTCATTAACTATTGTCGTTGTTCTTTGCAGCCAACCAAGCTGAACGTATACAAGAACGACTCCGAGAGCTGGGACTTCACCAACCCCAATGTTTGTAAGTACCAACACCGCCCCACCACCAGCCCCGTGAGCTCACCACACACCCTGCCCAGGTCCTCATGCTTCTCGCTTCCTCCCGTGCCTTGTCTAGTCGCACTGTACCGTAATTAATATTAGCACACTTAACAAATTGTACTACAGTCTCCCCGACTTGGTGCCTTCTTTTTGTAATTGCTTGATACTTTAAAAAAAATCTGAATGCGAGAAGTTGGAACTGGGCAGATGGTAGCTGGGCGTCTTTTAATTTACTATAATTATTTTCTATATATATAATAATACATTTTGTAAGATTGCATTATTGAAGTTGTAGTTGCGTCCTGTTAATGTGAGCCGAGAGGTAGTCGCTCGTCTCAGCATTGAGCTGTGATGGTGACATGGGTATGAAGGTCGATGGCTCCGTACAGAGGCACACAGCACAAGGATACAGCCCATAAGCCGCCAGTCACGGGTGATTGTCGGGGTGTGGTGGTGGTGGGCACTCTGAGGGGACTCCTGTGGCCCCTTACCCTCAGTGTGAGCACCACTGCGCTTGACCCTCCCACAACCACGCTAACCAAGTCTACATCTACGCCTACTCTCAACTTACCATCTGTCACGCCCACAGTGTCTGAAGCACCAGCTGCTAGTCTCATTCTTTCTAGCGATGAATCCTAGCGAGCACAATCTGTCCCAAGATGGACCACCAACTCTCCACGACCACAACCTTGTTCATACCAGCTACTCGTCTTCAGTCTGCCATATTCTTTCAAATATCATTCATTTCCTTTTAATGCTTTCATTAAGATTTTCTTCCGACTTAACCATGAACCGGTCTGTAACTCGCCTTCGAGAGACTATCCATAAAACAGCTCTTACCAAGGAAGCTAAAAAAAGATAAACATTTCCTTCACGCACTTACCATAGTAACAGGAACTTGTGTAACACTACAGCCACCATATGCCAGTAAACAAACCCTCCGTGGTAAATATAAACAATCATAACATGGGATTACTGAATGAATGTGATGCAATTGTGAGTAGGTGTTAAACACCGGCACAGCTGATGTATGACATAGTCTGACGGGCTGTGACGTAGTCATATCCCCAGTGTTTGCACCAAAGGGGCCTTTATACGGAGGCGGAGCCTATACCCGTGTACAGAGGTCAATATACCAGTGTACAGAGGTCAATATACAAGTGTACTGAGGTCAATATACCATTAAGGGGAGGGGGGGGACGAGGGGATTCTAGATAAATTCACAAATTAAATTTTCAGTACAGCGTAGTGGTTTTAAATTGTAAAAAATAATGATTTACAGCTCTTGACATTTAACCATACGCCCTGTCCAGTAGCAACATTTTATTATCTTGATGTAACGAAATGTGTTTACAACTATTATATTTGTCAGGCATACCCTTCCTACTATTGTTCATATTGGAAGCGTGGGGTGTCGATATTGGGACCCTGGCGGCACAGCAAACATTGATTATGGAATTCACTGGTGTTAGAATGGGTGTTGTAGATGGATGGTGTGTGAGGCTTATAATTAAGTAGGTCAGAACAATTAACAATAGGAAATAGTTGAGAATTATCAACTTTAGGTGTTGATGCTGTAATAGGTTGAGCATCAACATATTACAGAGCAAGTGACATAGGCTGTGCTGAATGATAGAGCAAGAACATGGTGGGCAGAGAGGAGAATGGATTGTTAAGAACAGATGAATGAAACATGATCACATTTATCAGGTTTAAATTTGCTATTCCCCAAAACTACTGAAGCTCTGGCGGTGTGCGAAAACGGTGCAACGTTTAGGCTACACCCCATGTGGTGGGATTACTCATGGTTAGGCATTAGAAAAGCGTGTGCACCTAGTGTTAGGAGATGAGGTGCCGAAGCCCGCTTGCACAACACACGTGGCCACATGGCTCTTGGTTGCATGATAAACAATAACACTGGCCCCCTTGACCACCAGACAGAGCCACAGAAGACTTGACCACACAGACAGCGGAGCCTCCCGCCTGATACCTGCCTCTGTGAGCCACAGTGTTATTGTTGTCATGTGTCACCCCCTTTTGTGGGGCTGCCCGTAGCCATGTGCCAATGTGTGTTCTGTGTGCAGGGAGAGGCTCCTTCCGCTTCCCGCGTCCGCCTCCCGGACATTGTCCTAGACGTGACCCTTGGGTGACCCTTGGCCTGGCTAGGTGCATCAGTGAGACCGTCCATGCATCTGCGACCGTCACCACCCCCACCACCCATTCTCGAAGCCCTAAGGTAAGCTCTAAATGTTCTAAGTAGCGTTCTCTACATTGTTTTAATTGCGCATTATGCCTTTTGTTAAAGTCTGCAGAAACACAAACTAAAAATTTAGTTTCACAAAAAAATGGTAAAAGGTAGACAGCTGACGCCTTGGGTAGGTATTGTGCATCCAGAGTTTTCTTGTGTGGTAAAGGTCTGTACATCAGGGTGGTGATGCACAGTTTATTTCGACATAGGGAGTAAGCAAGGATGGCTTGGTTATCTTGAATACAGATGTCGGGAGCCTGAGGAGGGGGATCCTTGAGGAGATCAAGCAGGACCTCGTTATTTGTTCGGCAGCGGCAATACCTGAACTTCCTCTCTAGGTTTCTTGGTTTATAGTTCAAACTACTTTTCGTAGTATTGTGCCTTTGCTGTCTACCTTTCAACATTGCGTTCCATGTAATATTTTTTTATCTATCCTGGCTTCAATAAGGTAAATAGGGTAATTTTACCGAGACGTTTTAAATCGTGGCTTCGTCCTGAACCTACAGACAGATAATGCAAGATTGGAGAGCAGTGGTGTAGACTAATGTGTAATTTCTACCATACTGTTGGCTTAGTGTGATCTCTAGCACTAGCCTCAATAAAGCTCAGCGTTTTGCAAAGTGGGTTTATTTCCAATTTGAATCGTAATTGAACACTGAAGGAAGAGAATATAGGTACGATGTACCTTTTTGTGAGCGAGCTCGTCACCCACTAGTACAAGGATTCCAGTTCATTTAGTTTTAGTTTGTAAGTGTATATCTTGTATGGCCAAGCAACCTGTCCTCTTACAAAAAGAACGTCGCATTTCGCTCGTATGCGTATAAACACTTTTAGTGTTACACTTTAATTTGACGGTTTTCTTGGTGTTGTGAAGCCTTGGGAGAAGAACGGGCTGAGCCAAGAGGCGGCTGTGAGGGGGGGGGGGGAGGTTAATCTGCAAATGCATGAAGGGCTCTAGTGCAGTGAAGTAGCTTGTAAGTAAAGGTTAAAGCTTCTAAGTGCGCAGATTGTGGTGATAAAACTGCAGTAATACAATGTAAATAATTCCTGAAGTAATGTTTTTAAGTGTAGTGGTGAAGTAATATGATGTGACGATAGTTTTGTGGTAGCTGTATCATGCTGACGAATGTGGCGTCCTTGCATCAGGTGCCGCGTCTCCTGGGAATGGCCCACTCTGATAACGCTTTATTACACTCGTTTCCTGTCTCGTAAAGATCAACATCTTGTGGTGTGGAGGGGGGGGGGCTGAAGTGGGCAGTATCCTTAAAGCACAGGAAGCACTGCTTTCATATGTTCCGGATCAGTACATTCACCAACCTCCCTAGTTGCTTATGATGTACAGCTAATTTAGAATGTCTTCTCAATTAGCTAATGAGTTAATTAGCCTTTTTAGTGTAAAATTAAATCCTTTGACACAGATCAGAAGATAGAGCCACCCGTTCTACTTCAGGTTTATGGGATATGGGATCAGGATATTAGAGGAGAAAACGGCTGTTGGCATAATTACCGCCAAAGTAAGATAGTAGTATCCAGTGCCTTTAATTAATGCCGACGTCCTATGACTGTCTGTTACAAGATTGTTTTGCACGATAACCATAGTGGATACAAACTTGAGTACGAATCTATTTATATGCGAAATTCAAGCTGGTAGTAGCTAGTGTCCGACAAAACCATATAATGTATAGGTTGTGAATGGTGTGCACGGATTGGCACGTCAGGGTTGTCATGCACGGCCGCATTATTTAATGACTGTTTAAAGGGCCAAGATTTTTCCTGTAAAGAATTAGATTGAGTAAACAAATGCAGGTTGTGATTGTTACGTCAGACACAACATTGTCACAACAGATGGTCAACATTCTGGCCTGGTTAGTAGGTGGTCCAGAATAAGTTGCCGGTGATCCAGTAAATATTAAAAATATCCAATAAATATTAAAATATATATTGGTACACTGGATTATCACCAACACGCGTAAAGCCTTCAAGAGGGAATTTTGTAAGTGTGGGATCATTTGGGGTTGTGTTGAATATGCATGTTTGCACCCCGCGGGGTGGTCACTCACCCAAGGCGGCGGCCCTTGTGCCACAGTTGTTGCTTATTAGCGCGCTCTTAGTTTGGTTGCCTCACTAAATCACACCCTTGGAATCTCTTCACGTTAGTAAGAAGACTGATTCGAATCTTTTTAAGTTTTTTAATGTGTAATAGTTTGCTCACATTTTCTTATTGATACTGTTTATTGTCGAAAATTGGCTCTTGAGCTAAAGTTTGAAGGCGGCATTCTGCAGCCCCCTCTCTCCCTCTCCCCTCTTTCTTTTTTTTCATTCTCTTTCCCCCCATCCCCAGCTCAACCACTTGGGCTGGACGGTCTCGCTTCATGCAGGTGGTCGGCGTTCAATCCTCGACCGTGCAAATGGTTGGGCACCGAAACCCGTCCCATCCTAAATACTTATCCTGATCCCTTCCAGTTGTGATATAGTCGTAATGGGAGCCGGGCGGCCGAGCGGACAGCACACTGGGCTTGTGATCCTGTGGTCCCGGGTTCGATCCCGGGCGCCGGCGAGAAACCATGGGCAGAGTTTCTTTCACCCTATGCCCCTGTTACCTAGCAGTAAAATAGGTACCTGGGTGTTAGTCAGCTGTCACGGGCTGCTTCCTGGGGGTGGAGGCCTGGTCGAGGACCGGGCCTCCACTAAAAGCCCCGGAATCATCTGAAGATAACCTCCAGATGGCTTGG